AACATAATGATTTCAGTTGTGTAAGACTGCAAAGGAAAGTTTGAGAAAGTGTTTCAGATAGACATATATATTTACATGTTTAGAAATTTATGGGTGTACAAATAAGATGCTCCAAGTATCCTGAAAATTAGCTTTTTCTTATCTCTAAACTAGGCAGAATCTTCAAGTAGAAGAAAATATATCATTCTTTCACACTACTTTAAGCTTTATAGTCATATTTTTGAAAAAAGAAAAATAAATTACATTCATTTAAATGATCAAGATGCTTCTTGTGATCATGATTCAACAACATTGACAAAAAATGGAGACTCCACCAATTCTTGCTTGTGCATGAATACTCTAGAAACCGCCTAAAATCCATGTCAGATACCATAAAGTTTCCAACAGGATAAAAATTATGGTGCCACATAGGACTATTCTTCCATGTCTTGTAATGCATATTTTAAATTAGCGCCCGGATTAAATTGATTTTCTTTGACTATAAATAGACATGTGGGTGTTATTCTTCTTCTTCATCCTTTATTGAATGAGCTGTTTGTATGTTTGGCATTCTGTTGCAGTATGGATATTTTAATGAAGGTGACCATTTTGTTCACCTTAGTTCTTACTACTCTCGCATCTGCAGGGCCTGTTTTTGGAATTAGAGAGCGTCAATGGGTCAATCAAAAGAAATTAAAATCAATGGCAAGTGAAGATCTTGTGACTAACTTGCCTGGTCAGCCTCATGTAGAATTCAAGCATTATGCTGGTTATGTCACTGTGAATGAGAAAAATGGGAGGGCACTTTTTTACTGGTTCTATGAGGCCACTACTCTCCCTGATGATAAACCTTTGGTGCTTTGGCTTAATGGAGGTAAGTGGATGTTGCTGTATACATTATGGCTATTCTTTGGATAGTGAGTTTTCTTTTTCCATCCAGATGTTAAAATCATTTGCTTGATGCCACTTGGGCTGAGCTCAGACCTTAGGTTTGAATAGCATGTAACTAACCAGAATGGCAATAGTTGTTCTTTTGGCTCCACTAAGAGAGAATGTGTATTCTTTTGATTGTTAGATTGTTGCATTCTTTTTATAGACCCTTGCCTCTCTACTATTCTAACTCCTTGCCTAAGACTCGGTAATCCAACAATTTTTGAATCTAAACCACCGACACTTAAAAATTCGAACTCAAATTATTTATGATGTGTAAGTTGAGACATTATATGAAACTCAATAATCACATATATTTTTGATCTAAGATTAAAGAATCATAAGTATGTAGGATATCTAACCCACTTACGCTTATCAATAAATATCTTATGGGATTTTAGAGCCTAATGCATGCACTGGTGGGAATTTTTTTAATTACATTGCTTTTATTGAGGCCAACTATATTCCCATACTAATCTTTGAGGGAATAAATCTATAGTTTATTTTGTAGTTGCCTTGTCACTAGACAGACCTCCCTGTCATACAGACAAACTTTTAATTGATAATGCTTCATGTTGTTTATGCTTGTATTGAGGTCAGCCTTTTTCCACCTAATTGGTGGTGGGGAGCATGATTTTCTTCACCACAGTTAGTCTGTGTTTACCTTATAAAAAAATTTGGTCTGTGTCTTATATATGTTCTCTAACATGATGACAAGTTTTCTCCATGTTCCAGGTCCTGGGTGTTCTTCTGTAGGATATGGAGCAACACAGGAAATTGGTCCCTTTTTGGTGGACACTGATGGACAGGGAATTAAAATTAATCCTTACTCATGGAGTACAGGTACGAGTTCCGCAAAACTATATCTATTTGAAATTTAATTTTGTTTGGATATCAATTTGATTACATTGAAGAGGCACTCTTGCTTTTGTAGCTACTCTGACGAACCTCTTTATAGTGCTCCATTTCTGAATATAATATCAAATTATATATTTTTAATGGCTGTGATGATGCAGAAGCCAATATGTTATTCCTGGAATCTCCGGTGGGGGTTGGCTTTTCTTACTCAAATACAACTAGTGATTATAAAAATTTAGGTGATGACTTTACAGGTCAGTTATGTAAAAGTACTGGGTGCATTTATAGATGCTTTCTTCACGTCAGATGGACTGCTTCTTCTCCATATGCGTGCTATAAATTTATGTTATAGCTATTCCCATATAATTAGGGAACTGTAGTTCTAATTTTTTGCAATGTTTTGTTTTCTATATGTACTGCTTTAGCAAATGATTCTTATACTTTCCTGCACAAGTGGTTCCTGAAGTTCCCCTCGTATAGGAAGCGAACCTTTTATATTGCAGGGGAGAGCTACGCAGGTAATTTCCTCTTTAACACTGACCAATTTTCTGTAATCTTTTTGATTTTATAATCGTTTTAATTGTATTCATTTTCTCGTCGATATTTATTTGCAGGAAAGTATGTTCCGGAACTGGCTGAACTCATATATGACAAGAACAATGATCCTTCTCTGTACATTGATCTCAAGGGTATCCTGGTATGTTCTTCATGGAATAGTAGTGAATTCTAGAGTAATTTGTTTTTGACATGATAACTGTTCTAATAATTTTTCCGATTGATTTCCCAATTGGTTACGCCAGTGATTGTTGTTTGCATAGTTCTCTCTCTTTATGTAAGAGTATATGTATGTGCATGTGTATATATTATACACATATATATATGTTTAAGTAATTAGGAGATTGTGCGAAGATATGGTTCTGGGTGTGAAGGTTAATGCTAAGCTCTTTCCTTGGTGAGTCCAGCTGGGTAATCCTGAAACATCTGATGCTGAGGATTGGAGAGGTCTGGTGGATTATGCTTGGAGCCATGCTGTGGTATCCGATGAAACTCACAAGATAATTAAGGAAAATTGTGATTTTGGTAGCGATAATACGTGGGAAAATAACAATTGTAGTGAAGCTGTTGATGAAGTACTCAAACAGTACAAGGAGATTGATATATATAGCCTCTACACCTCAGTCTGCATTGGTGATACAGCAAATTCAGAGGACAGCAAAACAAAAATCATGATGAAGCGCTCGTCTAAGATGGTGAGAGAGAATTCACAAATTTTCTTTTATGGATAATATAACATTCACATATTTCAAGAAATAACTTATATCTCTCTATGACACACCTTGAATTGATCCGCAGTTATACTTAATTTAGTTCAGAAATATTTTCAGTAAAATAAAAAACTAACTGCTTTCGTTCAAATTTTTTGTATGGTTATTAACGTAATGATTGAGGATTTTCTTTAGCAGATGCCAAGGATAATGGGTGGGTATGATCCATGCCTTGATGAATATGCGGAGACCTTTTATAACAGACTTGATGTTCAAAAGGCCTTGCATGTTAGTTATGGTCGCCATCTCAGGAACTGGAGCATCTGCAAGTAATCATACGCTGCTGCTTTTTATATGTTGCGTGGAACATAATAACGATGCACATATTTGCGTTTTTCAAACTTTCTAATAATGAAATAATTTATGTTAATTCATTACATCTCTCTTCCTATGCAGTTCGGTGATATTTGAGGAGTGGTCATATTCAAGACCTTCTGTTCTTCCCATATACAAGAAACTGATTGCAGCTGGACAAAGAATATGGGTCTACAGGTAAATATCCTACCTTTTGCACATCATATATTATATTGGTTTCTGGAGATTTCAGTTAGTGATACCAGATCTAATGGTGTTGGTCAGTGGAGACACAGATGGAAGAGTTCCCGTACTGTCAACAAGATACAGCTTAAGTTCTCTGGGGTTGCCTATTAAGATGGCATGGCGACCTTGGTACCATGAGAAGCAGGTAAACTATTGATCAAGATGATGGGTAGAATGAGAACTGAAAATTCAGCTGGCCTTCTTCAAAAGTTTTGATTCTCTTCTAAATCTCATTATTTTCCAAATCATCCATAAATGTCAAAATGTTCTCCACTACAAAGTATCAACTTTTATTATAAAAATAATATTATTAGATAATCAATTAAAGTCAAGTTACTAACTAAAACTAATTAATCGAAACTAAAGAGCATATAATTAAGATGACATGATATTCCTACGGAACTCATCCTAAACAATTCACTAATTGAGATGAGAGTCTTATTATTTTGGAGCAGGTGAGTGGGTGGTTTCAAGAATATGAAGGCCTTACATTTGCCACCTTTAGAGGTGCCGGCCATGCTGTGCCGAGCTTCAAACCAAGCAGCTCACTTGCTTTCTTCTCAGCTTTTCTCCAGGGAGTCTCTCCGCCTTCTTCAAGATATGTGTAGGTGAAAGATTTTTCTTTATATTTATATGTTGTAAGTAGCAGAGGGAAACTATATGCTATATTTGGAGGGAAAAAAAAAAGTAGAAAAGATCCTCAGGTGCTCATAATCTCTATATCTCTTGGATGGTCGAATATTTTCAAAGAAACTCGTGCAGATCTATGGTTTAATTATACCATGTTCGGATCAAATGAACTTTACTTATAATATTACGCTTGCTTAACGTGATTTGTAAGTAAATAAATCATTGAAGAGAGTAAAAAGAATCATCAGTTTAAAATTACAGCGAGCTAGAGTTTGAAGATCAAGAGTGGTTTGTACTGTTTATCAGAAAATGTTACGAGATTAGGCTCATAATATTAATTAGCACTAATTTATTTAGTCGTTAATTAAAATATTGATATTTAAAGAATAACATTTTAAAGTTAATATTTAATTTATAAATGTATAGTTACTAGTTATTGATAATGAGCTGAATATACTTAAATCGTAACAAGAATACATTAAACTACAAAAGACATATATATATATATAAATATTATATTTCTTTTAAGAACCTTAATTCAAACATAAGAAAAGTATATTACTTCCTTCTCTTCAGCAGACTCCTCATTTCTTGAGACCAAATCTCCCCGTACTGGTTTTCTTCCCATTACCTTTCTCTAGTCAAATACTCATACGAAAGTATACTTTGAAACAAATACGAAGATCCTACGAAATGCTTTGTCTTCGGAATGCATATGATCGACAATATGGCGTTGGTTGCCGAGCTAGAGTTGAGGAATAATGACTGTTGGAAAGCATGAGTGCTGCATTGGCCATGAACATTACAGGTTCGACTTGCGTGATAACTAAGATCGACATTCTGGTGCAGCATGGCATCAAATACATCTCCAAATGGAACTACTATTGTGCTTTCTTTCGGAGTAGATTAGGGTTCTATTTTACTTTGCTTTGTTGTTGGAGAGTAAGAACACAAGGAGATAAAGATGATGGGTTCAAAATTCATAATTCAAAATTTATTACTTCAACTTTCAATTATTTCAACTTAATTTGAAGGAGATTAAAGCAATCATTTAATTAAAATTTGATTTTGCATTAATTTTAACTTAATTCATTTTTTAATCCTAAATTGTAAAGTCATAAACTATTTTCTGATTTTTTCCAAACAAGCCTAAAGTATTTATTAAATACTTTTTAAATTGAATGTAAATTACCCATTCATTTTTTAAGAAAATGAAAACTTACCTTGAGAGTTATTAATAAAATAAAAATTTATTAAGTAGATAATTAATAAAATATATAAATTGAAAAATAATAAATTAATTTTAGAAATAATAAATATTTTATTAATGATGTAGCTACATGAAATAAGACTTATACCAAATTTTATATATATATATATATATACACACACACTATTAGAATTTTTTTTTTTGTTTTTTTGGTATAATGAATATAAATTAACCATATTTATATCAAATAATTAATAGAATGATATAATACTTTATTAGACTCCATCATTAGAGTAGTTTGTCTTCTTTCGCATCTATTAATGCATATCTTAACCAGTGCATGCATTGAATTAATCAGATTTTATCTGCTCAAAAAATTAAAACATGATCAGTTTTTATTCCAAGAATTAATAGCTATAAATGTAGATGTGGTTCTTCTCCTCCTCATTCTTCTTCTTCTTCTTCTTCTTCTTCTTCTTGTAGAAGACTCTGTTACAGAATGCATGTTTTAATGAAGATGAGAGTTTTGTTGAGCTTGGCTTTGACAACTCTCACATGGGCAAGTGAAGATCTTGTGACTAACTTGCCTGGCCAGCCTCATGTAAAGTTTAAGCATTACGCTGGCTATGTTACAGTGGATGAGAAAAATGGTAGGGCACTTTTTTACTGGTTCTACGAGGCTGCTACTCACCCAGATGATAAACCCTTGGTTCTTTGGCTTAATGGAGGTAAGTGACTATATGCTTGTTTATATATATATATATACATATGCATATAATGTAATATCTCATTTTGGATGATGAAATTTTTTGGCTTAATGGGAAATGAATGAAACTTATATGCTATATATCTAGGGTTTTACTGATTTGTGGGTTTTCCTTTTTATTTATGGTTTTCTTGATTCCAATTGGTCTGATTTATTCTCATTGAAAAACCAATTAGTGTTTTTTTAAAAAAAAAAAATTAAATTCTAAATGATTTTCTGTAAATATGATGATCAAAAGTTTTCTCCATATTGTTGCAGGTCCTGGGTGTTCTTCTGTAGGATATGGAGCAACACAGGAGATTGGTCCCTTTCTAGTGGGTACTGATGGAGAGGGAATTAAATTCAATCCTTACTCATGGAATAAAGGTTATACATATATATATATATACATTTTTTTATATATATATATACGCACACACATACGAATTCTCCAAAATTAGTACAATGGTTGCTTTTATAGTTCTCCATCTGACGTAATATCAAATTAAGTATTAATTTTTTAATGTCTGCAGAAGCCAATATATTATTCCTAGAATCTCCAATTGGGACTGGCTTTTCATACTCAAATACATCTACCGATTATACAAATTTAGGTGATGACTTTACAGGTGGGTTATATATATATATATATTATATATATAAAGTTAAATTTAACGATTTTTTATCTGCTTAAGTTTTAAATTTAAATTCAAATCAATCGTGAAATTGTTTCACGGTTGGATACGCAAACATACAACATGTATATATAGATTTCGGTTTTTTTGATCTTATTACTTAATTGATGTAATATGTTTCTATCATTTTTACATTCTTATATATATAAGAATGAAATAAGAAGAAATATAGTTTTCTTCTCCAAAAAATACAATTCATCTGAAAACAGGAAAATAGAGAATATCGCATAACCTTACTCTGTTTTGCTGCTGTCTCTCTCTCTCATCAACTTTCTCTCTCTAAGTTCGTTCATCCATAGAGCTTCCTTTGACGCTCACTTACTTACGATCAACAATTGGTATCAGAGTCAGGTTCTTAAGGGACCAGAAAATTAACATACCCTCAAAAAACCCGATGACATCCACTGGAAACTCACCTCCCCCACACTTCAGCGGAGAAAATTACCATGTATGGGCAATCAAAATGAGAGCCTATCTGAAAGCCTTAAGTCTGTAGGATGTAATTATGGATGACAGTGATCCCCCTCCACTAGGGGACACTGCCACTCTAAACCAAATCAGAAGGCACGAGGAAAACAAGGCCAAGAAACCAAAGGCTATTGCTTGCCTTTTCTCGGCTGTCTCGGATAGGGTATTTTCAATGATTATGAACTTTGAATTAGCAAAGGCTGCTTGGGAGAAATTGAAGGAAGAGTTCAATGGAGGAGTCAGAAGCAGGAAGTTAAAAATCTTGATACTGAAGAGTGAGTTTGCATTACTCAGAATGCAAGAAAATAAAACAGTGAAGGACTATGCCTCTAAACTCTCGGATATGGTAAATAAAATGAGGCTGCTTGGGGAGGATTTTCTGGAATCAAGGGTAGTAGAATAGATTCTTATCAGCTTACCTCCTAAATTCCAGTTTAAAATCTCAGCCTTGGAGGAATTTGCCGACATTGAATCGATCTCC